TGAAATCGACACTTTTGTGCATTAGGAATAAAAAATATCGTAAGTAACACCCTCGACCTCCACTCGTGTCACAAAAATCACCGTAAACAAATGGCTGCCTTTATACCCTTGTTGCTTAATATACTATTCTGTATTTCTACTCCAAATATTATAAATCTAACCTAAAATTATTTGCTTCTTAGGTATCTTTCTTTAAAGCACGTTACACATTTATTTATTTATTTATTTATTTATTTATTATTATTATTATTATTATTATTATTATTATTATTATTATTATTATTATTATTATTATTATTATTATTATTATTATTATTATTATTATTATTATTATTATTATTATTATTATTATTATTATTATTATTATTATTATTATTATTATTATTATTATTATTATTATTATTATTATTATTATTATTATTATTATTATTATTATTATTATTATTATTATTATTATTATTATTATTATTATTATTATTATTATTATTATTATTATTATTATTATTATTATTATTATTATTATTATTATTATTATTATTATTATTATTATTATTATTATTATTATTATTATTATTATTATTATTATTATTATTATTATTATTATTATTATTATTATTATTATTATTATTATTATTATTACTACTAGCTATTCTTTTTGTACGCCCGTATAAAATATTAAATAAATAAATTATTATTAATAATATTCTCTATAAGTGTTTCATCAAAAAGAAAAGAAATATTTCTTTACAGAGAAAGACAATAATAATAATTGCGCATGAATGGACGCGAAACTTTTGTGGTATTTCTTTTTCTCACTTTCGGATGTTCCTCGAAGTAATAATATCTTTCTCCAATTTGCACGCAGACATTGTAGTTCAGTTTGAACTCATAAACTTTCATTCAAACCTCGCAGACGAAAACCTGAACTTTCACTTAGTGTATAATGTTTTGGTATGCGATGAAGCTCTCGTACAACGGCGTGAGAAACAGTGGAAATTATTGTGCTAGCTTTGAAAGTGAGAGTCGTACACGTTTAGAATTGATGTGCTTTTTTATAAGCAAAGAAACAAATAAAACAACAAAAAATGAGCTTTAAAGGAAACTACTGTTTCCCCTTCGATTACTTTTAAATGGAAACTTTTCAGAAAAATAAAATTATAAAATTAAATTACAAACAATTAAGAAAAATAATTAAAATTTAAGTGATTCGTGTGTATTTCAAAAAGGGCTCAATTTTAAAAACCGTAAGAGTCATTTTTACTATTAATTGTTATGTGAAAATGACTCATCCAATTCTTTTAGGCTGAGCACTTTTTGAAATTCATGATTCAATTATAATAAAAAAATGTTAGAAATTAGGAAGATAAAAATATTAATATTTAACAAATAAGAAAATATTACAAGTCTCATTGTTTGGTGACATAGTTTTTGGTTTATTTTCTAAAAATTTTTTCAAAAAATATAATTTATGATTATTCCGAAATTAGGAAGAAGTTTTATACAGTTACTGGAGATGGATGGAATTTAGGACATTCTTGGTTTCAAATTTCATTTACATACATTAGAATTCTGTTTCATTCTGTTAACGTAAAGTAACTTTACAACTATACAATATTCAAAAAAAAAATTTTTTCCTAATTTATTGTTGGTTGGGAATAATTTAAAAATGCTTCCTCAATTTTTCCCTATTATATTTTATACGTCGATACCACAAAACCTAATTTAAAAAATATATACATATATTTACTGTAAAAAGTAATAAAAAACAGAAAAAATATAAAGTAATAAAATTAGTAAAAAATGATGTGAGACAATAAAATCTAAAGCAAAATAAAATCTATTAAAAAATTGTGTCAATTATTAGTAAAAGTTTGTAAAATATATAAAATAATAAAAACAAAAAAAATTTTAATTAGTTAAATGTAATAAAAAATAAGCAAACTGGAAAGAAATAATAGAAATTGGTAAAGAATTATACAAAAATGGAAACTTGTAAAGAATAACATAATAGTAACATAACAAAATTAAAAATTTTTAAATTTTAAAATTAGTAAAAATTCGGTAAAAAAAGAAATTATTTTTTAATCTAATTTAATTTAATTATTTCATAAATTGGATATGTATAAAAAAATTAAGTTGAGTAATGAACATTTTCTCTCTCTCTCTCTAATATCGTGAATGAATACTCTGTCCCCAAAAAAATTTCTAGATGACAGTTAAATATTTGAAGAATGCCCAAACTGATACGTTTTTTTAAAGAGAAAAAAAGAATTCTTATGTTTGTTTAAAATAAAAATGAAGTGTGAAAAAAGCCATAAAAGTGAAAGTGAGAAAGTTTTCAAAAAAAGCTTTCAATATCCTAACTATTTGCTTATCAAAGGAATTTTTCAAAAAAAATTTTTTTATTTTAACAATTTTTTTTTTATTTCATCTTATAATTTCATTTATTATTTATTATTATTTTATTTTTTAATTGATTTATTTAAATAGATTTTGATTCAAGTAACTATTTATTTTATAATAGACTTTGTCGGTTATTTGAATCAGATAAATTTTTTCCATGTAAAATGAAACTATCCCCCACAGCACCGAAACTTTTCTAAAAATTTATTAAATATTTACTCGCAATATTCGTCATATGTAACTGAAAAGTTTAGTGAAAATTGTGTAAAGATTTAAATGTCCCGATTAAATAAATGTTTAGCGCGAAGCTTTTCTGAACATTTCCTGAACACGAAATTACATCTTCGCATAATTATAATTATAATTATGCGAAGATTTTATTGAAATGTTTAGGAAAGCTTCGCGCTAAACATTTATTTAATCGGGACATTTAAATCTGTACACAACTTTCAATAAACATTGCAATTAAATATTCCGAATATTGCAAGTAAATATTTAATAAATTTTTAGGAAAGTTTCGGTGCTGTGGGGGATTACTCTATGTACCACAAAATAATTAAAATTGTTCCTACTATTGAAGCATAATACATATTTTAATTAATCTCAGAATAGTAATCAATTAAATTTATTAAAATCATTGAAGCTTTTATAATTTTTCATTTATTCTTTATTTGAAATATTTTTTTTGTATAGGTACATTTTAAAGTAATATGCATTGTTTTATTTTATTCGAATCTATTTCGAATTATTATTTCGAATTTGATTTATTTCGAATCTTTATTTTGTTCTAATCTTATTTTGTTATTATAAGGAATATTTTTTTAGTTATTATTTTATTCATAATATTTTATTATTATTAAATTATTATTATCCGTCTTTTGCTAAAACCGGTTTTTAATTATTTTGTGATAAAAAGGCCTAAATAAAGTACCTAGGCCTTTTATATTATAAAATATGTTATTGTAAAATTTTTAGTATTATTTATTTAATATAATATAAATAATAGGTCGTATTACAATAATTATATAAAAGTAAAAAATTCTAAACAAAAATTATAGAAAAGTATTACCTAAAATTTATTACTTTTTGAGAACTTTTCTTCGGAGCGCATCACACTTTATTGACTCAAATAGTCGTTTACTTAATATTAGCAGATAAAGATTCATTTCAAGCGAATTATTTTTATTAAAGTTAAATAAATTAATGAATAATTTTAATGAAAGTCAAGTAATTCATTATTTGAATTGAAAAATTTCTTCAGTGTGCTATTAAATTGAACTGTGTAAAGAAAATTAAAATTTTATAAAATATTGTAATATGAAAATATTATAATAAAATTATGAAAAATTGAAATATTTATTTACTTTATTAATAATAAATTCTAATCTCAGAGACCAAATACAGTATTAATTATCATTGTACATTAATCGTAAAATAATAATTACATTTAGGCAATTACTATTAGGCATGTACTTATGAAAATAAAATAAAAATATAAAACATTTTAGTGTGGAAATAAAAATAAAATATTAAAATAGAATAAAAATATAAAAAAATTAAAATATGGACATGATTGGGGTACAAAAGTGACAAAAAAAATTTCCAATCTGAAATTGCCAAGAAATATATCCAAAACTTAAAATAAAATAAAAATATGAAAATAAAATAAAAATAATTATGAAAATATAGAAGAAAATAAAAATATAAGGGAATTGAAATAAAAAACTAGAAAATAATAGATAAAAAAATCGAAAGGTGTCAATAAAATAGAAGTATAAAATATTAAAATATGAAATAAATAGATATTTATACACAAATTTTTATTTCAAAGATCGATAAACGAATAAAAAAAACGTAAAACAAGTATACAACCTTTAGGACCTCTGACCACAAACTAAATCCAATAATTTATGTAAAATTTTCATCATTTTTAATCGGACCATCTTTTTTTCCCTATGACAATCTAAAATATTCAAAAGTCATAAAATACAACGTGACCCAAAAATCTACTTTCGCCTATCTCTAGAAGAATTAAAAAAAATGAAAAAAACCAGTTAAACTCCCTTATTGGAATGAATCCTCTTTGGCTCTCAATTTCGTTCAACACCGTAATGTTTACTTATTCATGAATGAAAGCAATCGATTAATCGCCCGCCCCTCCATTTACACCTCTGAACTTTTTGATACGAAATGATGAAAAAAAACCAAGAAGAAGAAGCAAAAAAAATCTCCTACTTCCTAGACTTGAGGACACATTCTTGACATGTATAGGAATATCCCCTTTTTTTTCTCCTTTACCATTTTTTTTCTCTTAAAAAAGACACACAACTATTTACACGATTGGCTATTGGGTCGCAGGTCAGAGACAAACTTTTTCTTCCCACTTTTATCAGGCATTGGTTTTCAGCCATTGGGCGAATACTTTCTTACCTGTATCACGCCTTTAAAGTAACGTCACACACTCACGCACGCAGGCAAAATAAAATGAAGAGAGAAATAAAGAGGAAAAAAAGGAGAAAAAAGAAGCTTACTTGGTGGGGAGCTCACCAATAACTCTTGAATAGTGGGGGAACCGCCAAATATAAGCTAAAGAGCCTTTTCGATGGACCATATACCGAATTTCACTTACGAAGCATCACACACAGTGAAGAAGAATTTATAAAATAAATTTTTCTTTCTTCTGATCGCGTGGTTTTTTTTCGTTTCAAAACTCATCACATTATTATTTGTGCGTGTAAAACTTTTACTCGTCTTCTCTTTTTCCAATTCAATATGAAGTTGTTTGCTTTCGTGTGTCTCACAACTGTCGTGGTGCTTGCCTCTGGCCAAAGCATCGACGAATGCTTAAATCAAGACAGTATATCATGCATTCAAAAGAGTATTTATCGGAAAGCAAAGGAATTCTTTGACAAGGATAGTTTTGAGATTGTTAGCGGTGTCACATTGGACAAGGCAAAAGACGACAGATCATCACGCTCGAATAAGGAGGTACTCTACGATCAGGAAATTGACAGCGCCAATAATGTTGCCGAGAGACAAAATGCCCTTGAAAATTACGTTGGGGATGGTATCAGCGATTTCTTCGCCGGACGCAGTCTCAAGGTAAGACATTTTCTTATTTTTTTTGTTTAGAAGTCATTTTTTTCACTTTTTTTTATTTCTTAAAGAAGAATTTTTTTTGGTGATTTACTTTTAGTATTCTGTTTTTTTTATATTTGATTTTGGTTTTTTGTTTTCTACTTTTTTTACATTTGGTCTATTTTCGACCTTTTTTTGGTTTTTGTAGTTGAATAGTAATGTTGTTTTTTCATCCACTTGCTAATTTACTTTTTCAATTATTTCTTCAATGTCATATATTTTACTTTAATTTTTATTATACTTTTTTTTGTAACTTATTTAGCTTTTTACCTTTTTGTTCATCTTTTAAAATTTTTGTAGAATAATTTTAGTTACATTTAAATTTTAAATTGCATTTTACCTTCTGGTTATATTTTAGTTTTTAATTTTATTTTATTCTCCACCTTAACATTTTCGTTTTTATTTTTTTAGTTGCTTTTTAGTTTTTAGTTAAGATTTAAATTCTAGTTGAACTATAGTTTTTAGTAGCATTTTAGATCTGGTAGCATTTTAGTTTTTAGTTTTAATATTTTATTTGAGATTTTAGTTATAATTTTACTTTCTAGTAGCATTTTAGTTTTCAATTTTACTTTACTTCCCAGCGGCATTTTATTTTTTATTTTATTTTCCAACTGCAATTTTAGTTTTTAGTTATATTTCACTTTCTAGGTCCATTCTCGTTTATAGTTACAGTTTACTTTATAGTTCATTTCTAGTTACTCCTATTGTTTAATTTATTTTTTGATTTGTATTTATCTATTATTTCAGTTAATTTTTTTATTCGCTTCTGTTATTTTAGTTTCTTTCTCTTTTCAGTTATTTTCAGTACATTTTAGTTATTTTTTTTGCTTATTTGTTTTTACTTTCATATTTAAGTATTTCTTCATTTCTTTTTAGTTTTTTTGGTTTTGTTTATTTGCTATTTTCATTTAGTTCTTTAATTTAGTTGTATTCGTTTTCTTCTTTCAGTTTTTTAACTTATTTTTCAATTATTTTTATTAGTTATTTTTTATTTTTTGTTTTATTGTCTTTTTTAGTTATTTCTTCAGTCACTTATTTATTTACAACATAAGTTACTTCTTTTGTTAAGTTTTCTTAGTTACTTCTTTAATTTTTTTTAAGTTACCCTTTTGTTAATTTTTTAGTTATTTCTTTAGTTACTTCTTCAATTATTCTTTTAGTTACTTGTTCAGTTACTTTTTTAGTTATTTCCTTAATTGTTTCTTTTATTACTTTTTAGTTACTTCTTCTATTAATTTTTTAGTTACTTCTTACTAATTTTATGAAATTAGTGATTTAGTAAACTATGTAATTTAAATTTTTGTAAATTGTTTAGTTATTTTCGATAATTAATAAGCATGTCTTTAGTTGCTTAAGTTTCGTTTCAGCAATTCTTTTAGTTGAATTATTTAATTATATTTCGGTCCCTATTTTATTTATATATTTAGCTGTTTATTTAATTCATTAGCTTTTCAAATTTACTTCATGAGCTTCACGTTTTATTTACTTTATTAACTTTTATCATTACTTTCTTTTATTAACATTTTCACTTCAATTGCATATTTTTTAATTTACTTCCATAACTTACTTACTTTATTTTTTATTTACTTCATCAACTTACTTCATATATTTTCTAACTTTACTTCAATAATTTACTTAATTTATTTTTTAATTAACTTGATTTCACTTTATGGTTTACTTTCCTTGATTTACTTATATTAACGCTTTCTTTATTTACTTGTTGACTTCAGTTCTTTACATTTCTTCGTTAATTTAATATTTTAATATACTTTTTGAATTTACTTATTTTTGTTTTCTTTTTGTAATCTACACCTTTAAGTTACTTTTTGACTTTACTTCAATCTCTTCTTTCTTCTATTTACTTTATTAAATTACTTTTTTGGTATTTTTAATTAATTTACTTCTTCAATTATCTTAATTTATTTACTGCTGCAATTAAATTTCCTAATTTACTCTTACGGTTTATTTGATTTATTTATACTTTCGATTGATGTAATTTAATTTAATTCTTCAGTTTAATTTCTTCACTGTTTTACTTTTTAATTATTTTAGAATTTATTTTTTATTATTTAATTATTATTTGCATTATATGTACCTATATGAATGTAATTAATTTTTCAATTTCTTTTGTCAACTTATTGTTATATTTGTTAATTTTTTTTCTTCACTTTTGCTCTAAATTAATTCAAATCCATTAATTATCTGCAATGTATAAAAAAGAATGTGCTTTTAACTGCACTTTCTTAATTAGCCATATCATTAAATTAATCACAAATTACCCAAAGTCCTTCTCTAAATTAATTATGTATTAATAATAAATTCTTTTCAAAAATTAAAAATCGAAATTATAAATAAATAATTTATAACTTATAACTTTTCTAAAAATATATCTTCACTTTCCTCTTGTTACAGATCAACTTTGCACCAGCAATTGAAAAGATTGGCGAATCTGCACGTGCTATTTCGGAATCTGTTCCCGCCGAAGTCCGTCAAGCCGTCAACGAAGTTGTTGAAGGTAAGACATTTTAAAAAAATTTACATTATTAATTATTATTTTTAAATATTACTTACATTATCAATTACATTATTTGCATTATATTATTTTTATATCATTAAATTCAGATTAATTATTTATTAGAATAATAGCAATTATAGAATAGAATAGCAATTAATATTATTTTAATAATTGTTAAAAGAAAAGAGATAAAATAAAGAAAGCATTGAAAAAAGTGAAATAAATCATTAAATGGAATTTATCAAGATAAATTACGATATTAATAATCTTGGCAAATTTTTTTCTTTAGAAAATGTAATTAACGTACATATGTATATTATATATGATTTAATGTATTAAACTCTATATACACGTTAATTAAATTTTCAAATTTTTTTCAAATATATTCAATATACTTCGTGACTTTACAGGACGTGGAAAGAAAAAGATCCTGAAGCACATCCTGCCTTTGTTGGTTGCTGCTAAAGTGAAAATAGGTGCCCTCGCTGTTTTGGCCTACTTTGCCATTGCCCTCATCGCTAAGAAGGCAATCTTCGCCTCCCTCATAGCAATTGCAATTTCTGGATTCTTAAAATTAAAATCCTATTTCCAAGGTCAAGGTGGTCCCGGTATCACTGGCTACAATAACGGTTGGAATTCAGCTTCCAGCAATGCATGGGCCGGTCCATCAGTATCATCAGGTGCATGGCAATCCGGTTCATCCGGTTGGGATGCTGGTGCAAGTCAAGGATTCTCCGGATATCATTAAAAAACATCATCAGCAACAGCAAAAAATTACATTTTACATTTAGTTAGAAGAAAAAAAATCATATCGGTTTTTTCATCATTTAATTTATTCCAATTTTTATAGAAAAATCAAAAAAAAACATAATCATTTTTTTTTGTTACAAACAAAAATTGTCTTTTCAAAGAGACAATATATTTATTTAATTTATATTTATAAATAGTGTGTTGCATATTTAGCAAAAAAAAGAAATGCAATGAAAAATGTAAATAATTTTTTTTAACTTAATCACATGTATATTCTGCACACGTGATTCATGTTCGATGTGTAATGATATTAAATATTGCGGACATGTTTAAAGTAGACTTATCAATAAGTCACAAGTGAATACGAAGCAAAAAAAACAAAACATTGAGAGGCTAGTCGTTACATTTTTTTCGAAGGCTTTCCTCCGAATTTCTCACACAATTTTTGGTTGCAGTCATTTTCCGATACAGAAAAAAAGAGGAAATAAAAAAATTGTAGTAATTCTTTTTCAGGTGGAAAAAGAATTATCTGCTTTTTGTATACTCTCTCTCTTCCGTTAACGTCTTCCGAAATTGTGTTCAAAATAAAGATATTTATTAAACAAAACATTCCAAAAACTCTTCAGATTTCGTGATTTATTTCATCATCGACTCCAAATTATTGTTGTACTCTTTAAATTGATTCTAAATGGGTTTGTTAATACGATTAATATTATTATGAAAATAATGATGGTGAAACAGACGATACAATTATACTAACAATCATACAAATAATAATTTTAACAATTATACTAATAATAATGCTATCAATCATACTAATGATAACACTAACAATCATACTAATAATAATACTAGCATATCATAGTATATAATGTCATGATATAACAATATGGTGATAATTATAATCAAAATGTCGGTAATGATAAAAATACTACTAATTAAGTATATAATTAGCAAAGATACTTCTAATTAGCTAGGTTAATTAATAAAGATATTACTAATAAAAATACTACTAAATAGGCACTAATAGTAATGATGGTAATAAAAAAGATATAACCAATAAAGCAGCTAATTAATAAGTATACTAGTAATAATATAGCTAATTAGTAATCCTATAAACAAAGTACATAATTAATAAAAATACTGCTAATAAAATAGCTAATTAACAAAAATACTATTAATAAATTATCTGATTAACATAAATACTATAAATAAAATAGCAAATTAATAAAAATACTATTAATACAGAAGCTTAAATGAGGTAGCCAATTAGTAAGTATACTAAGAGTAATTAATTAACAAAAATACTATTAATTAAATAGCTAATGAATAAAAATACTATTAATAAAGTTACTAAATAATAAAAAAACTAATAAAATGCAAGGTAATAAAAATACTAATAAGAAAATGTATTAACAGTAGTAATATTATTAATAATATTAATTTTGGAAAAAAATGATAATATAGTTGCTTTATAGTACATATTAGTAGTATTAAAAGTGTTAGTAGTAGACAGTAGTTGTAGTAGTCATTAATGAACATAGTTCTAAACACATAATGAACCAAACAAAAACGGGGGAAAATAAGAAAAAAAAAAGAAAAAAGAAAACAAATTGAAGATGAAGAATATGAAGAAGCAATAGCAGAAGAAATATAAAATTCGCCAACAAAACATTCTTCATTCCCTCAGTTTTTTTCTCAATTAAAGTTATGGACATACTTACGAGGCAATTAAAGTCATCAAGTATCAAGTTTTATGAAATATGTCAAAAAGAGAAAAAAAGACAAAAAAAATCAACGATTTCAGGTATCTTGAAAACGAGCCCAATCATCATCTTGAGGAGGCGCAACTCATCTTTTGAAAAGTAGAAAGTTGACCATTCGAAAATATTCCGACCCCGCGGGACAACTTTCGAAGTTCCAATTCTTTTTGGTGGCTAAAAGTTTCGTCTCCTTCAATTTATTTTACGAGCATTATTATTTAAAACAAGAAACAAAAAAAAGCAGCAGAGAAAAAAGGTGAAGTCAATTTTATTTATTTTCAAATTAACATTCAAAGAAAATTTATCAACTAAATACGTGGGAAGTAAAAATTTTGAGCAAAAAAAAAATATTATCTTTTGCAAAATATACTTTCACACTTTCCCCTCTTATAATAGTCGACGATAAATAATTTGAACTGCGGCAATCTCGAGTTCCCACAAAACGAACGAAACAAATTGAGGTCAATGTTTTGGAATTCACATTGAAATTTTCTCAAAGGAAGGATATATTTGTATGGTTGTCGAATTTTTCTTCATTTTTTATAATGCAAATAAAAAAAAATAATAATATTAAATAAATATTATATATAATAATTAATAAACATAATAGTTAAGAAAAAAAAATTATGGTAATGATAAAAATAATTATAAAAGTAGAATAGAATTTTTCTTTATAACAAAAATCAGAAGCAAAATAATAAGGATAATAACAAATAAAATAATAAGAAGACTAATAATAAAAAATAAAAATGATAATAATAACAATATTGCAAGAACATCGTTAACCAAAAAAAAAATTTTTTTTTGTCTAATGAGGAGAAAGGGAGGAATGGAAGGAGAGAAATCTACTTGCTTTCCATAAGAACTTCCAAGAATTGGTGTGGTATTAAATTTTTTTTCTTTTTTTGTTGGTCAAAAATTTCTCGAGAGAATTTTTTTTTATTGAGAAGAATATAATAAAGGGAAGAGAGCAAGAAAAAAACGGGATATAATATTGTTAAATGTGGGGTGTGGAAAATTGAAATTGCTGCTCGGAGGGAAAGTGCACTTTTAGTGCATCCGTGTGCATTGAGAGATAATAAAGTTGCTTCTTTGGAGTTACCCTGAGGTCGAGAGGCCGAGTTGGCCTGTCCATCAAGTTTAAATCAGGTCAAGTACCTGGGCTCCTTGACCTCCAATAAGGCGGATTGGAGATTCGCTTTTGCGGATGGAGACCACCCGTGTCTTCCTTTTTCTCTTAATAAAATTTCATTCCTTTCCTTGATTTATGTCCGTGTCGATTACTTTCTTTATCGTTCGTGTAAATAAAATTTACTCTTTTTTGCAATGAAATTTCAATATCTATGTAGATTGTAAAATTAAAAATAATTATTTATTTTATTTATTAATTCATATTAGCGGGACTATGAAGAAAAAAGGTTTCTTTTTTAACTTTTTTTCAAATTATAAAAGAAATTTAAATATTAAAAACAAATTTTGAAACTTGCTAATCTATTTTTGTTTATTTTTTGTCAAACCAAAGAAATTGATTTAACTAGGTATTTATAACAAATGTTTACAACATCTTTATAACTGTTAATTATTTTTAGTACTTTATGTACGAATGGGACTCAATGCCCGTAAATAAACAATAAAAAAAATAAAATAAATAAATAAATATTAATAATAAATATTAATAATGAATTAAATTCTCTTATTTTGATGAATTTTAAATAAATTTTAGATTCTCCTAAACTTTTATTTAATTTAATAAAAGAAATTTAATTTAAAATTTAAATTAAATTAAAAACATTTAAAATTTTTTTTATAAAATTAAAGTTAAATTGAAAATTACTGTAAAGAAACTGCAGAGGAAATTGTATTTCTTGAAATTGAATAAGGCATTCAGGAATAAAATGGATATTAAAATAATTAAAAGAGAGCATAAAAGCATTGAATGAACATAAAAAATTGAATGAAGATTTAAAAAGAATTGAATAAATGTAAAAGTAAACCAAACATTAAAAGTAAAATGGAACATAAAACTGAAGTGCAGGAGAAATATTAAGTGAATATAAACATAACAAAATGGTCATCGAAATAAAAATGGAAAACAAAAATGAAGCGCAAATGTTCTTAAGAAAATTAAAACCTTCTCGCAATGGAAATATAACAAAAATTAGAAAACTAATTATTCAAATGAAAGAAAGACGTGAAAATTAAAATGAAATTGAAATGATAAATAGAAACAAAAATAATTATTAAAAATAAAAAAATTACAGCGATAAAATAAAAAGTTGGAAGTAAATAATTGCAGAAAGAAATGAAAATACAATAAAGAATCAAAAAATAAGATAAAAATGAGAGCCTAAATAAAAGACAAGAATAAATTTTAATTTTGTGCAAAAAAATAGATAATAAAATAAAATAAAAATTTAACAAAAATCAAAAAAAATAAATTGACAAGATATAAATTTATAAAAAAAATAGAAAAAGAGCCCATTAAAAAAAATAGAAAAAATTTCCAAAGTACAAAAAATTCATAATAAAGAATTATAAATTAATTAATATTAATTAAGAATATAATTAAGAAAATAATTAAACATATAAATTAGAAATTGAAATTAAAGAAATATAACTACATTAAAATTAAAAATAAAAATAAAAAAACAGAGGCTAAAATAGATTCAATAGGGAATAAAATGTCAAGGTAAGGAAGGATTTTCAAAGAAGGCGTTTATGTCATGACCCAGAAAATTTGAAATAAAAATGCGGGAATACGAAGGAAGAAGACCCAATTTCCACGAAATGCCCACGGCTCGATCAGTAAATGAACCAGGAAGGTATTATAACCAGAAGATGTAGGAAAATAAAAATGAGAAAGAAAAGAAAAAAATGAAACAAGGGTCACGCCTTGTTACATTCTCCTTTGGCAGTACAACATGAAACATAAATGCACGCAAACACATTCTGTGTACACATATATGTACATAAAACGTTAGGTTATAAGAGTGCAAAGCAATAAGGTACACGAGAACGAAATGGCAAAATGGAAGCAAAAACATAAAATTACTTTGAAAGGAAGAGGGACTTTCGTTTGTGGTGAACGTTTATATACAATATAGGTATACAAACAACTTGAACTGTTCTTATATATATATACACATTTTGTTTCGTTTCATCATAAATCGCAGTCTCCACTTCTAATCAGAGCAGAAGACAATTTTCATTTTAACGTTTTTCTATTAAACGAAGACTCATATTTTTTTTGTTTTTAATTTCTTTTTTTTCTTTTAAAGAAAAGTCATTCTCGAGGATATTTTCCGTTATTTCAAAATAGTGTCAATTTTTATATCGTTTTATTATGTTTGGAACCATTTGTGAAATTACTTTT